TGTGTGTGTGTGTGTGTGTGTGTGTGTGTGTGTGTGTGTGTGTGTGTTTAAGCTCTAAAGAATTTTTGTATGTGAGGAATCGGACAGATTGTCGGACTTTACTTATTTTAACTCTTTTTGAGATTTGTAAAATCCTCTGGTGCAAACTTCTGCCTGTGGCCTGCCACCTGCTTTTCCATGCCCCAGGAGTAAAGAATTTTTTATTTTTAAATGGTTGAAAGTAAAAGAATACTATTTTAACCAGGTGTGGTGGTACACACTTGTAGTCCTAGCTACTTGGGAGGCTGAGGTGGAAGGACTGCTTGAGCCCAGGCGTTCGAGGCTGCAGTAGCCATGGTTGTGCCACTGCACTCCAGTCTGGGCAACAGAGTAAGATGCTGTCTTGAAAACAATAATAACTTGTGTTATGTGAAGATTACATGACATTCAAATTTCAGTGTCATAAATTTTTATTGGAATACAGCCGTACCTGTTCATTTATATGTTACCTATATCTGCTTTTGTGCTAGAAGGGCAAGAGTAGCGTAGTTTCAGTAGAGACTGTATAGCCTGAATAATCTAAAATATTTACTACCTGGCCCTTTACAGAAAGTTTGCCCACACTGGCTCTCAACCATTCCAGATGTTGTCTATTCTCAGAAAAAATTTTGCTATTGACTCATCCTTTTGGTTCAGTTATTTTTTAAGAGATAGGGTCTCACAGTATTGCCCAGGCTGAAGTAGAGTGACTGTTCACAGACACAATACCAGTACTGATCAGCATGGGAATTTTGACCTGCTGTTTCCTACTGGGCTGGTTCACCCCCGTCCTTAGGCATTGGTTCTCCAGTTCGTTGTTAATTGAGAAACCCAAGTTCTTTTGTAGGGTGTCACCCTGGAAGGGAAGAGACTTATCGAAAGATTCCAGTTTTGTCATGTGTTCTTTCCTGGCTTGGTGATTCTAGTTAAAGAGTTAAGAGTTAGTCTCTGGGGTTTGGCATGGTGGCTCATGCCTATAATCCCAACACTTCGGGAGGCCAGGGTAGGATGATTTGAGCCCACGAGTTTGAGACCAGCCTAGACAAGATGGTGAGACCCTGTATCTGCAAAAAAAAATTTTTTTAATTAGCTAGACCTGGTGAGACTTGCCTCTAGTCCTAGCTACTCAGTAGGCTGAGGTGGGAGGATCCCTGGAGCCCAGGAGTTCAAGGCTGCAGTGAGCTATGATTGTACCACATACACTCCAGCCTGGGTGACAGAGTGAGACTCCATCTCCCCTCCCTGCTCCCTTCCTTTCTTCCTTCCTTTCTTTTTTTCTGCAAACACTATGGTGACTTAGAGACCTCATCTCTTAAAAAAACTAGTCTCTGGGACCTTTTAAGAAAGTCTCCCAGGAAACAAAGGGGAAAGAATGGGGCTTTTGCAGATGAAGGTATCATGTTAACTATTTGTGTTTGGAAAGTGATGCTGTGTAATGTAGATCATTTTAATAAAATTTTTCTTTACTGCTCATGATAAAATTTAAGGTAATAGAGAGGTATAGAAAGTAAGAGTCCAGTCTTCACATCACCCACCCCCTCATTCTACTCTTACTTGTCACCATTATTAGGAATTTAGTCTATTTCCTTTTAGACTTTTTCTGTGCAGATATAAACATAGCCAGTTGGGTTTTGTGGCTGTTTTTTCAGAAATGAAATTATACTGTACATACTGTTATAAAATGAAGGTTTGCCGGGCGCAGTGGCTCAAGCCTGTAATCCCAGCACTTTGGGAGGCCGAGGCGGGTGGATCATGAGGTCAAGAGATCGAGACCATCCTGGTCAACATGGTGAAACCCCGTCTCTACTAAAAATACAAAAAATTAGCTGGGTATGGTGGCACGTGCCTGTAATCCCAGCTACTCAGGAGGTTGAGGCAGGAGAATTGCCTGAACCCGGGAGGCGGAGGTTGCGGTGAGCCGAGATCGCGCCATTGCACACCAGCCTGGGTAACAAGAGCGAAACTCCATCTCAAAAAAAAATAAATAAAATAAAATAAAATGAAGGTTTTTCAGAACTTGGCTCAGTGTATGGTGGCTGTGCATACCTGTAGATGCATGGCTCTACCATATCTACTTACCATAATCTACTTAACTATTGATGAAGTTTAAGGTTTTTGCTTATATGAATACTGTTCATGTGTTTCAGTTAGCCTTACTAACACAGTTATATTCATCTTTAACTTTTTTTTTTTTTTTACCTATTTGGTAAGTAAAAAATGGCTCATTGTCATAACTTGCACTTCCTCAGTGAGACTGAACATGTTCCTTATGTTAGCCATTTGTACTTCTATGAATTAGATATTATTTTTCTTTGGGTTGTTTGTGTCTTTTAATTGGTTTGAGATCTTTATATATTATAGACATTAACTCTTAATTTGCAAATATTTCTTACAGTTGATCATTTCTTATTTGTGATGGAGTTTTTCCTTACAGAAGTTTTATTTTTGTATGTTGTCAGATCTGTCAAACATTTATAGCTCTTGAATTTGGAGGCATGCTTGCAATGTGTTGCTATGGTTTAATAGTCTAAGTGTAATGATCTTAATTCAGTGATTCCTAATAGTGTATCGGAATAGTTTAGGGGAATTTTTTCAATACATAGGCTACGGTTTCCAACTAAGATATTCTTTCTTGGTGAAGTGTGGGGTCCAAATTTGTGGGGTTTGGTTTGGTTTGTTTTGGAGAGAAAGGAAGAAGCTCCCTGATTCTGATGTGAAACCCTAGTTAAAAAAATCACCGTATGTAAAACAGATTTCATTGACTCTTTCCAATTGAGTTGTGATTTTTTTTTTTTTTTCTTTGAGACTATGAAGGGAGTGGTGCTGCTTGTTTCCTTTTACCTGTGTTCATTGAGTTCCTATGACTCACTTGGAAAATTGGTAAGGAGAGAAACTGCTGTACATTGTACCCTTTGCTGTGCATTGTAACTGTACAATCAGATTTCTTTATCTTGACCATTGTGTTAAACCGTAAGCTATTGGCCATATTTCATTAGTTGAAAGATGCGTTTTTTCACACCTTAACATCCATGAAATTGGGATGACAGCATGACATAGTTTATTTGGCAACGTTTTAAATTTTTGTCTTAGTCAACTTGGAGAAGTTGGATAATTTTTTATCTTTGGTTTTTGTATCTAAAGTACATCAGTACATTTTTTTTCCCTGTATTGGCATTCATGTTCCTGAGTCATCTCCTCTCTGCTAGTGTCTTTCTTTCTCCTTAAGTTTTATATACTGCTGCTGGATTGATCTTCCCAGACCATGATTCTGATTAAATTACTGCTTTATGCAGTAACTTTTTCTTTTTTTTTTTTT